ACGTTTGGGAACAACAAAGGTCAAATTCCAGTAAGTGTTGCTGCATCAGTTGATTTGCATGTCACAGCACTTAAATCAACTACAATACCCCCTATATCAGAGAAGATAATTTGGGGTAGAATAAGAGAACATCCTCAAGGAAGCCCGATGCTTGTGGAAGCACTGGAAGACCCATCCAAGCATGCGGACGTGAATATTGGAAAGTCACTTGTGGCGGGTCATCAAGTAGTACCCATAACAGTGGCTAATTTCTCTAAATGTGAGTAGACACTTATGGAAGGGGCATTGTTGGGTGTGTGACAGGAGGTAGAGCTAGTCAATGTTAAGGCAAGAAATACAGCCATAAAGAAAGGACATCCTCTCCCAGTTGTTAAGTTTAAAGTGACGAGAAACGTGCTGACTGTGCAATTACTGTGTACTGAAAGTGTTTATCCAGAAAGAATAAACTGGTTTAATCAAGAAAGGACATGTATCGCTGAAGCTCCAGTGAAAGAACTTCTACCTGAAATTAACAAACAAGCAGATACGTAAAAAATATATACAGTTTACGTTTATTTTACAATTACGCGTATTCTAATCACACCAAAATAAAAGTACAGTATTTGCATTCCGGTTCGCTCCGGCTCTACTACACCACTGATTATGATAAAATAAATTGTATTGAATATCTTAACGATTCTGTAAGTGGGAAAAACAAGTATGATAAGGTGTATTTCGGAAAGAAAAACAACAAACAGGTGCTGTGTTCAAGTGCTAGCTTTAGAAAATATAACCACGCAAGAATTATGTAAGAATATTATAAAGTGGAGATTCAAATGAGCTACGTGTGTCAAAATGTACGAAATGTCCACTCTTTCCTCGTGCAGTCTAGAGTCTAGACCCTGTGTGGGTAGCCCATTGGCCAATGGCTATGTGTGACCATTTGGCAAAAATGTGTAGCCAACTCGTAGAATCATCGATAGTGTGTTTTTTTAACTGGTCAGAGAAAAAGAATGCCAAATCTCTCATTGAAATTTCACGCTTTTGTAATTTTGAAAAAGTATTTTTTTTGTACTTTTGCATTTTGTTTATAATTGAACTTGACTGTCATTAGAATCCTGAAATAAATTTATTTAGCGAAAATTTCTGTTTTTTTAATAGTGTGGCCATCTTTCTGATCATGTGACAAAAATAAGACTTAAATAACTTACTTGAAAGGAATGTGGACTTAAGAGATAACCAGTTCTTAGGAAAATATTGATTAATTAATGTTTGAGGTCGTATGGATTGGAGAATTTGTCAGTACTTGAAGGAATAGGGACTTACAATCTTACTGGTACTTAAAAAAAATATGAACTAAACGGTACTTGGAAAAAACATGAATTTTCAAATCTGATAAATAGTTTAAAAATTCAAATTTTTGGCAAATTCTCCATGTCAAGTTTTGAGAAATGTGAGGTATATGTGAAACGGGTTCTATTTTTATCATTATTTTGTTTGTTTGTTTGTTATGGATTTTGCGCAAAGCTACACGAGGGCTATCTCGAGGGAAGGTAGCTAGTCATCACCAACCACCTCCAACTCTTGGGCTACTCTTTTATCAACGAATAGTGGGATTAACTGTCACATTATAATGAAAGGGCGAGCATGTTTGGTGGGACGAGGATGTGAACCTGCAGATTGCGAGTCGTGCGCCCTAACCACCTGGCCATGTCGGGCCCTATCATTATTTAAACTACGAGTAGAATTGTTTTGTTTTTGTTTTTTTTACTAATTGCAACTTTTTCTCCACGAACATGATCATTTGTTGCTTATAAAGTTACATTCA